AATCATGAATTTCTGAAAAATGCTTTCCTAGGATTTGCATGTTTGTTATATACTCCAATTTAGACCTCCTACATTAGCCAACGTACATTGATGCTGCAGTGACATTAATGCTTTTCCAGGACTCTAAAATGTGCCATTAATATGCATCTAACTCGCCTCTTCCCTGAGCTTAAGGTTCGCTGTCCTGACATTGCCTGCCTGCACGTTTCTACACCCACTTGCATTTTCCAGCCCATGGGCAGCTCCACAATTAAATGCCACATTCTCTAGGAGAAAGGTGTGCAAAACAGATTTCAGATCCTTCAAAGTAAAAGGCACAACTTGCAACACAACAAGGAATGGGGTGATTTAAGAAATTACAGCACTGTTTTTTTAGGCTTTCACAGAATAAACACAGAGAATGGGAGGGAAACTTTCTCCCTCTGCTCCTGTTCTTGAAGTGAATACATATTTGTGTTTCCAATAAAAGGCCATTTTTACATTAACTGTCTGTAACAGCAGGAGACAGAAAAACTAACACAATCGCCACATCACACACAGGATGATCTTCATATCACGTGGGCCTATTCTCAAAACTATTATTTATAAAAGACAACTAGGGAAATGCACAATGCATCTTTTCTGTGTCACCAGAAGGGTAATGTCTGAAGAACTTAGGATTTTGAGGATCTTCCACATTTTCGATTTTTTTTTTTTTTTTGGCTTTCCGAAGTAAATTTAGCAGCCATGTGGGCCACTGTGTTTAATTAAGCTTTCAAAAGTCCTCTGACAATGCCAACAATTGTAAGACACTTCTGCGGCTCAATCATGCAATCACTGTGACAGTTCTATTTACAATTTGTCTTAGAAAGAGTTTCTCTGACATTGCACTTTGACAAAACATCCAAGCTGCCAGTTCACAACCTTTCTCTGTCTTATTTACAAATACAGCCTGTATATAGGACTCCCAGTCTCATGAACATGAGTCTTTGGGTAGTGGCCTCACAAATATAGGCTCCCAGTAAAAATCCTAGGTTATTTATTAGGAAACAATATTCTCTAGACTCTGGATTCTGAAGGCAAACAAAATGTTAATCAGTATACTGGGGGGCTTTTGTTGTTGCTGTTGTTGTTGCTGTTTGGCTGTCATGCTAAAAATTCACTTCAGCAGTCAGTAGTTTTTATTCAGAATCACGCAAATAAAGAAAAATGAAAAATAAGTAGTCATAATAGGATATGATAATTTATAGTCTCATTTACAATTACACTGTAAAGCATACAAATACCATCCTCTAGTTCAGTCTGAGCTAGGGAAGAATTAGAAGGGGTACAAAGAGAAAAAAGGCAAGTTTGATTTTCTAAATTCTGAAAAGCGTAAGTTTGTTGTACTTGATTTACCTTGAAGTAACACGTTAATGCATTTCTAGTTTGAACTAGTACTTCTAGCTTCATTAGAGTATCTGTCTTACATATTATTATCTAGATGAGGTGTATTGTCTAGGCAAATCATTTTAAATGCCCTGATATAAATGTCTATGTTCATGATTTCAAGGAGGAAAAAATGTTACATATCAATACTAGGAGACTTGACTACATTTTATAGAACTTGTCATGTTTTCTCCTCTTCTCTCAAAAAGCTAACTTTATGATAGCTCAACAGTAATTTAAAGATTTCTATGTGCAATAAGCCAAAACCTCAAATCTGATACTGTGGGATAATATTTTGTGGCCTTTTCTGTAAGTGAACAGCAGTTTTATATTCACTAATCTTCAATGACTATGTCCACCATCATAAAGTATGAGACTAGAGAACAAAACCAAACCCCTATGAAAAGCCCTGACTGCCAGTCAAAGGCTGCTAATGGTGGATATCTGACACACAGAGTGATGAACTCGGCACCGCACAGTATAACCTGCTCATTTCCAGTTAAATTAATACTATTTTGATAGCCTCAATGGGTCATAGTCATACAACATTTTGACTATTTAAATAAAATGAAAAAAGCAACCTGTTCCACGTATGTGTGTGTAGTTAACACATACATACCCCTCTATTCGCCAGGTAAAAATCATCCTTTCTCAGAAATACTCAGCACTGAGAGGCCTATGTACAGTTAAAATGCATACCATATTGCTAAAGATTTAAAGAACTTTACTTCATTCTCTTATTTAAAAGCCCCCAATTCTAAGCTTTATTTATCTCAGGAAGATCTGTCTCTGTCTGTTTCATTCCTGCTTCCTGCCTGTAAAATGGCACAGAGCACACAGTGAGCTCGAATCCAACTTACACTACTTTAATAAAGCCTTTCCTACACAGCGTACTTAAATGACTACCTTTTATGTGGTTGCCAAACATATTCTTCTAGAGATTCATCAATATATCTTTCTTAATACAGAGCATTGCTTCTCCTTTCTTTTTGTGACACAATTCAAATATTCGTTGAATGATTACTCTTATTGTTTCCTTCCTCACCATAAAAAGAAAAGCAGACTTGGAATTGTGAAGACATGCTTGAGAGAAATGGGCTGGGAGTACACAGCCATCTTCCAGAACTTCGCTTCGGAGGCACCTGAGGGCCAGGGCATCTTAATTTATGTGCCATGGTAGAATGTTAATTTCACCATAGGAAACGCTTAATTCATTACTGTGAATTATGAGAAGTCGTGATGCTAGTTACTGACATCTCGCTTTGAGATGTGACCATGCTATTTATGTACAGCCAATTCCAGGGTGGGAACAGGTGATTAAACACAATGAAAGGATTCAAGGCTTTGTAATTATTCATGCATGCAAGGTTTACCTCACCTGAGTCGCAGCATTTGTGCACCCATTGAATATCTTAGATAGCTTTTCACCTCAGTGAAATTATTTTATTTTAGCCCTATAAAACATAAAGTTTTTTGTTTGTTTGTTTGGTTTTTTTTTTGGCTTCCCTGGGCTCTATTATTGTACTTAGTTCTTTAAAAACATCATAATAATAGAAGCTTTATGACAACCAGAAAGGTAAGGAAAATATCTTTTCTTTCCCTACATAGATTCACAACTATAACAGTAAAAGGCCTTTCCTATAGGGCCTTTCCCCCAGCTTTTAGATTCCTCCTCTTAAATACAGAAGCACAGAATTTTTGAGCTGGTTAATCTGAGACAGAATAACCTATCTGGGACCTCAGTAAGAAGTGTGGTTTTAATTCTTGCTTGACAGACACTGTGTTTTGTCTTTTAAACGAGCAGCTCGATATGTAAATACGATGTTACATCACGCAAGTGTTACTCCATATTTGGTGATTTAGAAAGGCTTTGGATCTCTGAAGACGACAAATCCCCTTCCGCTTGCTCCTGCTTCATTAATCATGCCTTACACTTCTGTTCATTTTCCTTCCAGTCACAAGACAGCACATGGAAACGGCCATTCCCATATCCTACTGGGGGGTGCGGTGAGGGAGGGGGGAGATAAAATCTTAACCTACGTGTCACATTAAGCGAAATGTGGTGGATTCAAGAAAAATATTTCGTAAATGCAGCGTCCCTGGGAGCAGATTTCTCACTGCACTTAAGGAGAAGTATCTGAGTGCTACTGCAGGAAGCATTTTTTTTAAAAAGGAAAGAAAATGCCACTTTTGATTTTTAATGATCAAATTCCAAAGGGGGAGAGGAGAAATAATACGACATTTAATCCTCTCCGGACCACTGACCTACTACAGTTCAACTCTGTGGTCAAACTAGGTCAGGGAGCCAAGTTCCAGCGAATCAATTGATTATATGCACTACCTTCCCTAAAACTGAACAAATCTTCTACCTTTGGGGGAGGGGGCAGAGAAAAACAGAAGAGAGCGAGCCACAACAGGCATGCTGTTTTTGTCACCACAAGAATCTGCATTCACTTTGTCTTATGTGTGAAATCGCTGTTGTTTTGTTAAAAAATATGTTTCAAAGGCCACTATATAGTGTTGCTGTTTATCACTGAGAGTAGGGATTTAAGTCCCTCTGTTAGCCGTCAATTCCTTTTCCCTTGAGCGGCTGAGCAACCCACACACCTAGCTACCTCTCTGCTAAAATTAACCAAAGGAAGGAGAGCTGTTGAATACACTGTATGTACTTTTCCAAGAGAATTTTTACATTGTGTTATAGCAGAAACAGTGGAAGTCTGGACTGGACATTTGTAAGGGTGACATGTGGTTGTGTAAACCACAAACAAAATCAAGATACATCTGTCAAAACCACATCAGAGACAAGAGAGAGCACAGAGAAGCATTTATCATTTAGCTGAGGAGGCAGGCTGCAGGGAGCAGCCGTTCCTGTCAAACCAACCTTTTGAAATTTCCAACATGCCCTTAAACTTTTCGAGTAAGCATGTCTGTGCGCTTCAGCAACTGCCCTCTCTACTCTGGCCTGGCCAGTCGAAAATGGCATCTTAAAGTCAAGGTCACGGTGTCATCCCACCACGGGGCTGTGTTTAATTACAGCCCCATACGGGCTGACAGCCAATATGGATCCAAGGCTAGCCCTGAAGCTCAGTTAACTCTTTCCACCCTCTCCAAAACACCCTGCCAGCCCAGCCCACTTCATGGAAGCCTTGAGAACTAACTGAGCCCCTGGCGAGGCCTGACTCAAACAGGTCATTGGCCAAACTACAAATGCCTATATGGCTGCTTTGCCTCTGACTTGTCCCCAAGGCTAGAAATGGACATTGGAAATTGGGTTAGGTGTAGTAAGATTCAACACTTAAAAATAAGAAGGGAAGAAAAAAAGGAAAGAAATTCAGAATCTGGAGATCCAGAAAGAAGCTATCAGGTGTGTGTACCTATTCTGCCTACATCTGACTCTGTGAAGTGGAAATATTTATTTTTTGGTGTTCTGGACGTAAGTAATAGGAATGATTATTTTAACATTACAGGGCTGTCATGGACAGTCACGTGGAGAAATACAGAAAGCACTTCACCATTCCTTAGTGCTTGGCTACAGCGCCTCTGCAAATGAAAAGAAAACATGCAAACAGCTTTTCTCCTTGCTTCTCATTTACCTGCTATGTGTTCCTGTTTGGGGCAAATTCCTCTAGATGACGTTGATAAACAATCGTCATCCTCTGGCGTGACCTGGATGCCAACCTCCACGGGATTGGATGCTTTTTTCATCTCGATTGGTGAAGGGGAAGGTGGCTTATCCACAGCTTTTTCTAAGCAGAGGCTGCCATTGCATTGTTTCCGTTTGTGCTCGATAAAAATAAGAATGTCCCCCAATGGGAAGTTCATCTGGCACTGCCCACACGTGAGGAGGTCATGGTCCCCTTCTGGAGCTCCCAAAGGGCCGTGGTCTGGTTCATCATCTGTAAGAATGGCTTCAAGAGGTTCGGCTGTGGTTGGAGAAACAAAAGCACAATTATTAGAGTGCCAGAAAGGAGAGAAAAGGAGGAAATACACTCGTAATCCCATCCCATCTTACCACATTATACAATATAAAGTGTTTTTAGGCTCCTCCATATAATACCCATAAAACATGAGCACCTAAAATGTGCAAGGCTGTGAAGGTAATCAACAAACAAGCAGATTTATCAATGAGGTAAATCATCACGTATTTAAAGAAAACCGTCTGACTTGCATAATTCCAGGCGAGCGCACACACACACACACACACACACACACACACACACACACACACACAAACTACAAATGTGTCTGGTTTGTGAGTTTGGAAGACTGTGACTGTTAAATAAATAGTTAATGCAGGAGGCATAAAGAAAACTTAAATAATAACTACCCCCACCTCAAAAAATGGAAGAAAACATGGATTGAAACCAAGTTTCTTTTTTCCTATAGACTAAGTTGTCTATTGTGCCAAACAATAAAAGGAGAGGTGAATAAACATACACACCCTTTGTGTGTGAATGTATATATTCCTAAGAGTAGAGGCATGGCTTCATAAATTAGAAAGCTACTACATCACACAGAAAATGTGCCACATTTACACTGCCATAATAAGAAAACGACTGCATTCACCTGTGAAACAGATCTAAATAATAATCATAACGCAGCATAATTCACACTGCCAAAAACCTTTCTGATCTCACTCTCAGCAGTGCCACAAAATCAAAGAAATACCAAATTCACTGGCAATTCTTCTCAGACACATTAGCTAAATGGGATACTTTTGAGTACTTAAGAAAATAAGCCAATTAGTCATTTTTTCATTCTGAAGAAAGAAAGCCTAAAATATTCCAAACATGTTTGCACTTGGTGGCCCCCATCACATAAAAATCAGAATGGTCAAGCAAACGCTGCATTTCAGAACAAGGCTGAGAAGTCCTTTCTTTAGACTTGAAATACTTTGCCTAATGTTGTCAAAGTTGACTAATTTTCTGAATGAGCTCTAAAACGCTTCATTATGGGACTATTTCTGCACACATAATCACCAGCGGATGGTATAACAAGGTAGATATGTCTTTCATTCCGGTTTCCTTTTTTTAACTTCGCACCAAAACACTTCAGCATCTATTTGAACAGCTTCTATCATTTTTTGACCTTCCAAAGGGGTAAAAAGAGTTGGTAAGTTTCTGCTCCTAAAACCTTATGCTTACTCTATGAAAAAAAAAAAATCACAAAATACAAAACACATCCAGGATGCTGCCAGTTAATAAAACTGAAGCAGAAAATGTATGTCTTAAACAGTTAATCAGTCTGACCTTCTTTAGCAAGCTGCCAATTTCACATTTAATGAACTTAAAGCCACAGAGAATCAAAAAATAGATTTTAATTTGAGTGTAGAATATTGGAACAGATTTTGATAAAGTGCAAAAATCCAGTGAACTCAGGTTAAATTTATTTCAACCCTACCCAGGCTGAATATTGAGGGGGAAGATCTGGAGTAACTCCCAGATGTGCTGGGTGAAATAATATTGAGAGAGCCCTGCCTAGTTGCACCTGTGCTCAAGTAGGACATGTCATAATTTCTAGCCTCTGGTACTCCTCCTAATTTAACATAAGGTCATCACAGGAATATGAAGGTTATATTCCTACTAATAAAGACAGCAAGGTAAGCACTTATGTTTCTTTGCTCAACATACTGACCGAAAGATAAATACTGAATACACATGCATACTTTTCAAATAAAAGAAAACACAAGTGCTTGTGCATTATGCCTCTATGTCATTTTTATCCTACATTTGCTTTCATTTTGACCCAATGAGGAACTAAATAAGGAAGTCCTTCTCCAAGATCCCTGCTATTTGAATTAAAGATTTTAAGTACACATTAACAAATGTGGTTTTGTTGTTGTTTTTCAGCATTAACTACAAGTTCTGAGGTTTAAAGACTGAAGAAAGACTAAGAAAAAATATTTTCATTTACTGAAGTTAGTAGTACATAGACCCTTTGGAAAAAAACATTTTTTTTTAAACTCCACTATTAAGATTCGTTGTTTTATTCCCAAGGCCTGACACATTTTTGAAAGTGGAAATATTATTTAGGAGCAAATGGAAATATTCTCCTAGGTATCAAATAGTTAAAGGTAATGCGGTACAAAACAGACTTGGTTAAGGTCTTCTAAATGTAGTGACTGAACTGATTTATAATCAAAACCAGGAAATGAAGTGGTAATTCAGGTTGCTGATTACACCTCCACATTTCACCTAATTAATTTTATAGGAGGCAAAGTTCTTGAAAATAACAAGATGATCAAATGTACAGATATAAAACCTGTAACCTCAACATTTTCTATGCTCTTAACGTAAATTATTGCTAATTAACAAGAATTATACCCTAATGTATGAAATACGTTTAACATCGGGCTCCCTGCAAAACATTTGGCTAGTGATGTTCAGAGAAATACCAAAGCCTGTTCTTATTATTGCTACTATATTATTAAAATTCAGACGAAGTGGGGCACAAAGAAAATATGAAAATACAGTTCTCTTGGTGTAGTCTACTGATTTGCACTGACATTTTTTTCTCAGTGGCAATCAACATTTCCTTTCTGGGTATCTGATAATTTCTCTGCATTTTAATGCAAATTCCTCTTTCCCAGAAAATATTCCTAACCTCAGCCATTTTACCCCTTCCTTCAATTCAACTCCATCCTCCTTTGCCCCCACAATACTATCTTTTCTAAGCTCTGGCCTAAGCTCCGGCTACAAAGCGGGGAGTCCAGGACTAAAGTGGAAGGGAGTGGGCAAATAATCATAATAATTAGCCGCGAATTCTGTACAAGAGGAGAAATAGAAAATGAAATGCTTCTGCGTTCAAACAGCAAGACAGACTGAAACGTCTCAATGCCCCAGCGGCTGAGATCTCTTTCCTCTCTCTGCAGTTGTAAAGGAATAAATTTTTTAAAAAAAAAACAAAAAAATAAAGCCTTAGAAGAAATGTAGGGAAGGAGCAAGGGAAACGAGGGCTGCTGGGGGGTGGAGGGAGATCTGCCTTCAAGTTTGCTTTCCAAGTCTTTCCCTATAATTGTCTTAACAGTATAAGGAAGCAAACCGAGGCTGAAATGCAGAAAGGAAAAGCAAAGAAACAAAAGCGACGGCAGGAACGACAAGCCCGGGGCAGGGGGCCCGGCTGGGTCGGGCTGTGCAGAAAGTGAAGTTGGGCGCAGGGACTCTGAAGCACAAAGCGAGCAGCGTGCAGGGCTGCAGGCTCCGGCGGCGCTCGCTGCGAACACGTGCAGCAGCGGCCGCAGGGCCGTGGGGCCCGGGGCCAGGAGGCGGCGGGCGGCCAGGGGCCCCGACTGCTTCCTTCACGTCCATCCAGCCCGACCGCCGGGTAACGAGGTTCCCTGGGTCCGCCAGTTGGGAAAAATGGCACTTGAGGCTTAAAAAATTCGGCTGGTTAACCTGGTGCAGTCTCGGTATCACCGCACACACCTCAAGCGCGGCTCCTGAAATTCATTCTGTGTCCACAGGCTCACACTTTACTTTGGGGGATCTCGGCAAATGCATTTCTCCCGCAATTCCCGGCACTGGTGTGCGCAGCGCGGCGGCGGCTGCGGTTATTCATTATTAATGACGCTGCTTGCCCGCATCATTATGATGATAACTATTACTATTGTTGTGATTTCGGGCTCGGAGGCAAGAGTTGCAGGAGGCGGAGGAGCTGGGGGTAGGTGCTTTGCGCGGGGATGAGGGGGTGGAAGGAGTGAACCTGAAGATTAAGTGCAAACTTGCGGGACCCTGCCCTTTGGCCTTGCCCCGAAGCCTAAGGGCGTGCACTCCTCTTTTCTCCCTACCAAAAATGCCCGCCCCGAAAGAAGGCAAGAACTCCACCCAGCTCGGCTCTCTGTGCCCGGGGCTGTCGGCGCGCCGGGGCGCTTCTACGCAGCCCTGGCCTGAAGCATTTTTAAAGTCAAAATGAAGAACAAAGACCTAAGAGGTGATGAGGGGAGAAAGGGAATTCTGCCTAACCGTCCATTTCCCCCACCCCCACCCTCGCAAAGCTCTTCCCTCCCCGGCGGAGAAACGAAGAACGGGGGTGGGGGGAGGCTCTGGTACAGGTTCAAGTTCGCTGAGCTTTCTTGATCTTGTTCTGCCTCCTAGCGACCGAATGGCTCTCATTCAGCCCAAGAAGCGGAGGATGGGGGGGGTGGGGGGTGTCCTAAAGACCTGAATGGCTCCCGCCCCCTCTTTGCACCCAGTAAACGAAGCGACCCCCGAACCCCCTCCAAGCTGGTCCCTTAACCCAAAGCACTGGGACTGGGGAAAAGGGGGACTAACCCACCCAGCCTGGAGTGTCCCGAGATGGACCCGGGATGGGGGGAAGGAGGCGAGGGAGCAGCCCGGACTGCACGCCTCGGTCTGTCCTTTGAGCCCCCAATGCATCCTTCCGAAGAAGGGCCCGGCTTTCCCGAGTCCTGCGAACACTGCCCTTCCTTCCCGCGGGTACCTGGCCGGGCTGTAACTTCACACCGCCGCGCGCCGCGTCTGCTCCGCATCCGGCGCAGCCGGGGGAGTGGGGGGCGGGGGAGAGCGGCGAGGGAGGGATGCGCGGGGGTGGGGAGAGGGAGGGCCCCGCAACGTGCCGGGGCGGGGGAAGCTTCCAAAGTCTGTGACAAGTTGCAGGGCCCAGTGAAAAATTCAGTTCCATGCGCACCCCCCCCCCCGCATTTAAAAAATACAAAACTGGGTATCTGTGGTCCTTTAAAATTGCATCAAAAATTTAAATAAAGGTCATGAATGAGGAGGGGAAAGGATGTGGGCCCTGTCACGCCTTTCTTTCCCTCACTGCCAAACTTTCCTAAGTGCCCACCGCCCGCCTTTCCAAACGCATTCTGTTAGCGAGGAGACAGCAACCCACCCACCAGTTAGGCTCACAAGGACACCACCCCCGACCGAGCCAGGTCTGGGGTAAAGGGCAAGAGCTCAAGTGTTAGGTGCGCGGAGTCCCGATATTCAGCACTCCCAAAACGCATAGTCGAATATACTACTCTCCTGCCCACACCCCGAACACCCCCACCCCCACTGCCGCCGCCGCGTGTCAGCGCTCAGGAGTGGAGGGGCTGGTAGTTAGGCTGGGTGGGAGGAGGGCAGGGAAAGCACGTGGAGACCTCCCCACGGTCCCGAGCTGTGGACCAGAGACCCGGGGGTGGGAGGGTGAGGGGCGCAGAACGCGCTTTTTCAGTTGATTTGCAAAATAAAAATGTTTTGCAAAGCTGCGTTTCTCCCCAGCCGATTTCACAGTCGGGTTGGCCGGGGGGAGGTTTGGGTATTGTGCTGGGGGCGAGGGAACCGTGGACCCCGCTGGCGCAGAGTTGCGGCGCGGCCTGCCAGCAGTGCAAGCGGCCGGGCGCCGGGCGCCGGGTGGGCAATCTCGGGCAGGGCGGGGGCGCGACAAGGCCCGGCGAGGCCCCGGCGAGGCCCGGCCGCCGCCGCCGCCCGCTCCCGGGCTGCCGCGCCGCGCTCGGTCCTCTGTCTGTTTGTTGGCAGGAGGCTCCCGCACACGCGGTGCTTGTAAACATTCAGACACGAGATTTTTCCCAATCAAAATCCACTTCCACTTTTTTTGAAAATCTTCCAAAAAATAGTAAGAGGAGGGAGTTCCTCGCTCCCTCTCCGTGCCGCCGGCGCTCTAAGTTTGCAACTAAAGAGGTTTTGGGGAAACGGGTAATTGTATTTTCTTCCCCTCTATTTAAAGAGTGTGAGATTTTTGCGGTGGGGGGGAGGGGGGAGTCAAAGAGGAGAGCGCTGCAGAAACTGCCCGCGGAGCGTTTGGCTTCTGTTTGGGGGCAAGAAATTTTACATTCTCTTGCCTTGTTATATTTAGTTTTTAAATTAATTTAATTTAATTTTGCGCGTCTTCTCGCCGCCACTGAGGTTCGCCCGGGAGGGGCGGGCAGCCACAACTCGGGCGGCGGCGGCACGGGCGCCCACCCTCCCTTTCTCGCTCACCCCCGGCCCTTGCTCCTGCCCTTCGGCGGTGGCGGCGCGGGAGGGCAAGCGCGAGAAGCCGGCACAAAAGGCAGCGGGACAAACACCCACCTCAGGCCGGAACAAAAGGAGGCAGCGTCGGCCGCGTCTCCCGTCCTTCCCGGTCGCCCGGCTCTCCCAGCCGCCGCGGCCCCTCTCCACACTCGGCAGACTCCAGAGCGCCGGGGGCCCCATCCCACAATCCCACTTTCTCACTATTGTGGAGATGACTACTTTCCTCCCGGTTCACACTTGACCGTGAGCGCGCTGATGTCCGAGGGCCAGTCTCACCTCTTTTCTCACTGGGAATTGTTTTTTAGGCTTGGGTTCCCTCTCACCCCCCCCACCCCGTTTTCCTTCCTTCGGTGAGTGGAAGCAACCCCCCTTTCTCCTCCACCTCCCTCCCCTAGGTTTGCAAGAGAGTTGTTCGCATCCATACATAGCATTGTTCATTATTTTGCAAAATTGGAGGGGAAATCATTGCATTCCTTTTCGAAAAGCGAAATAAAACAGCGGAAAGCAGGAAAGAGGAGGAGTCAAATTTTTGTAAAATTAAAAGGTGCGTGCTATCCCAAAAGTACATACGGCTATGAATCGGGATGGAATGAGGTTTGCTTTTTTTCCCCCCTCCCTTTAATCTCTTTTATCCCGACTCTCGGAGGTTTTTCTCGTGAAAAAATTTTAAAATGCATGCACACACCCCTCTCTCCCCCCTCGCTCTTGCTTCTGTCCTGCGCACTCTCGTGATTATTAATAATTATTATTACTATTATTGGGTTACTTACGCGAGAATTCCCGTTTGCTTAAGTGCTGGGGTTTGCCTTGCTTGCGGCGAGACATGGTGGGCTGCGGGGCGGGCGGGTGGCGGCGGCGGCGGCGGCGGCGGCGGGCGGACGACGGCTCGGTTCACATCGGGAGAGCCGGGTTAGAAAGAAGGAGACTCCAGAGAAAATATCTTCATCAGTGCCTTTTGACATCCAAAATAAATTAGAAATAATACAAAGATGGCGCAGGGAAGATGAATTGTGGGAGAGCCGTCATGGCTTTTTTTTTTTAAGCAAAAAAAAAAAA